CCGGGTATTCTTGGGCAAACATGTTGCTGTGTGTGTGTGCGTCTGTGTATGTGTGTGAGAGAGAGAGAGAGAGAGAGAGAGAGAGAGAGAGAGAGAGAGAGAGAGAGAGAGAGAGAGAGAGAGCAGCCAAAAGCAGCCAGATCAGAAGATGGTTACTCCTAAAATGAGGGACTCAAATTTCCAACTTTCCTTCCTATATTATATTTTTGCTCGTGCCCGGGCCGGCAGACGTAGTACATGTGTATTTCAAACAGGGCTGCTCGCTAGAAGTAAACTTTCAAGTAATAAATATACCGGATTAAAAATAAATACATTAATTCTTTAGATAAATATATGTGTGTATGCCTGTTCTTGTATTGTATATTTGGACAGCAATATGTCTCTTCTGTGTTTCATTAAATGTATAGCTGTGTAGATGGTGTACTGGATAGTGACTCAGATTGGGAAAATCGGAAAGCCGTGTTCGAATTAAAATCGAATTTTTTACATTCTTTTTTGCGCAAATAAATATTAGGTAAGGCATGATTTTTCCTCTCTGTCCTCACATCTATGTATTATACAGTAGAACAGATTTGACTCTTAAGCCTTGGTTGGCAACCAATCTAGAAGAAGGAAATGTCTGAATTGTGCATCTAATGAAAGGATCCCGATTGTAGACGGCCATGGTTCATGAATATTAGTCATATTTGTCAAGCAAGGAAAATTTTATAAGTGTCTCTGTTGTGCTTATGTAACTTTCACAGAAAATTTAAATCTGTCTACACCAGGAAATTGATTTTTTTTTTATCTGAGGTAGGTAAAATTTATCTATCTATCTATCTATCTATCTATCTATCTATCTATCTCAGAAACCTATTTATCCAAATCCTAACGTCAGTTTGATAAAATCTATCTATCTATCTATCTATCTATCTATCTATCTATCTATCCCAGGGAGTTATCTATTTATTTATCTCAGACATCTTCTATCAGTCCTAACGCTGACAACAGTCTGTTCATATCTATCTATCTATCATCTATCTATCTATCTATCTATCTAAGCAAGCATCTATCTATTCATCTATCTATCTATCTATCTATATATATATATATATATATATATATATATATATATATATATATATATATATATATATGTGTGTGTGTGTGTATATATATATATATATATATATATATATATATATATCAGGCAATTATCTATCTCTATGCCTTTTTACTTTTCGCCTTCTTTTTTCCTCTTTTACGACACCTGAAATGAAAGGCGAAACCATCATTCGGAGGCAAGTGATAGAACAGCTAGCGTAAAACGAATCGCCCCGCCGTCTGATGATGACATAAGAGCGACGAAAGTCATTAGCTGGACGACGGCCACGTGCGACAAGATCGCCGTCCTACTTCCCTTTATGTTGATATTCACAATATAACGATGACATTTGGAAGACAGCCGATCAAATTTGGGTTGCTCGCTGAAGTGGGGACGAAAGACGGAACCAAAAGCTTTTGATTCCATCTTCGACCGCATCTACTTACGCGGACGAATCAATTACGATGCGCGGCTCACACGACAATTAGACAACGACAATAGCTGCAGAGTTAACCTTGGTGATTTAGAAAATCAAACTGAAAGTAGATGCATTGAAAGAGTAAAAGGATCTTTTATGTGCAGTTACGGGCCTGTTTATGGATGCTTAGCTATATATCCATCAAAATATGTATTATCTGAATCGTCGCCTTATATGTATATATATATATATATATATATATATATATATATATATATATATATATATATATATATCAGAACCAGTTCAAATCTATGTAGGCATGTATCTATATATATGTCTATCCGAATCTATCTATCTATCTATCTATATCTATCTGAATCAATTCATATCTATTTATCCGAATCACTTCATATGTATCTATGCATCTATCTATCTGAATCAATTCATATCTATCTGTCTGTCTGTCTATCTATCTATCTATCTATTTGAATTCATTCATATCTATCTATATATCTATCTATCTATCTATCTACATTTTCTAATGAGTAAAGCATTAAATATATCTCAAATTTCATCGGAAATTTAACCGTTAATCACTGGTGCTTTCTGCATGCAATTTTTCGAATGGAACCGACAGACAATGCGATACAGTGATAGATAGATAGATAGATAGATAGATAGATAGATAGATAGATAGATAGATAGATAGATATGAAAAGACATAGATAGATAGATAGATAGATAGATAGATAGATAGATAGATAGATAGATATGAACAGACTGAGATAGATAGATAGATAGATAGATAAATAGATAGATAGATAGATAGATATGAACAAACTGAGATAGATAGATAGATAGATAGATAGATAGATAGATATGAACAGACTGAAATAGATATGAACAGAGATAGATAGATAAATAGATAGATAGATAGATAGATAGATAGATAGATAGATAGATAGATATGAACAGACTGAAATAGATATGAACAGAGATAGATAGATAGATAGATATGAACAGACTGAGATAGATAGATAGATAGATAGATATGAACAGACTGAGATAGATAGATAGATAGATAGATAGATAGATAGATAGATAGATAGATAGATAGATATGAACAGACTGAAATAGATATGAACAGAGATAGATAGATAGATAGATAGATAGATAGATATGAACAGACTGAGATAGATAGATAGATAGATAGATAGATAGATAGATAGATATGAACAGACTGAAATAGATATGAACAGACTGAGATAGATAGATAGATAGATAGATAGATAGATAGATAGATATGAACAGACTGAGATAGATAGATAGAGAGATAGATAGATAGATAGATAGATAGATAGATATGAACAGACTGAGATAGATAGATAGATAGATAGATAGATAGATAGATAGATAGATAGATGAAGAATAAGTGAACAGAAAAAAGAAACAAGATGATGCGGTAAAGGTCTGATAGGAATAATAATAAATGGTGTAAGTATCGCAATGAATTCTCTGATGATTGCGTAAAAAGAAGGACGCCAAAAAGAAGAAAAAAAAAAGAAATGAATTAAGAGAAAAGACTCTGAGTTTTGTATCTGAATTTTGAAACCAAATCTGTGCGAGCGATAACAAAGTAAAAGAAGTTACATTTCTAGAGTACTATACCATTTCGAGTTCAATTTGAAGATAATCAAAATCATTTTTGGACTAAGCAAATTCTTAATGAAATAGCCAACTTCAGAATATAACGTAGCACATTCAAAATGAAATAATTTAGCTTTGGATAAAGTAGAAAATTTAAGTGAACTTATCATAATAATGTATCTATGGACAAAGTAAAAAAAATAGGTGCTTATCATAATAATGTAGCTTTGGACAAAGTAGAAAATTTAATTAAGCTTATCATAATAATGTAGCTATGGACAAAGTAATAAAATTTAAGAGAGCTTATCATAATAATGTATCTATTTCCAAAGTAGAAAATTTAAGTTAGCATATCATAATAATGTATCTATTTCCGAGGTAGAAAATTTAAGTTTGTTTATCATAATAATGTAGCTACGGACAAAGTAGAATTTGAAGTTTGTTTATCATAATAATGTCGCTATGGACAAAGTAAAAACATTTAATTGAGCTTATAATAATGTACCTATTTCCAAAGTAAAAAATTAAGTGTGTTTATGATAATAATGTAGGTATGCTCAAAGTAGAAAATTTTAGTCAGCTTATGATAATAATGTAGCAAAGAACAAAGTAGAAAATTTAAGTTAGTTTATCATTATAATGTAGCTATGGACAAAGTAGAAAATTTATCTTATTTTATCATTATAATGTAGCTTTGACCGAAATAGAAAATTTAAGTGGACTCATCATAATAATGTAACTATGGATAAAGTAAAAACTAAGGAAGCTTATAATAGTGTAGCTATTTTCAAAATAGAAAATTTAAGTTAGCTTGTCTTAATATTATAGCTATGGAGAGAGTAAAAAAATTAATCGAGCTTATCATAATGATAAAAATTAATTTATAAAAGAGAATATGATTATACAGAAATTTTCGAACGGTAAAATAATTTATGTAACGACTTGTTGTTCGTAGAACTGGTATTTCGCTAGTGATGACAATAAAAGTAGAGAAACAAGCTGAACGGGGAAGAGAAAAAACAGGAGAAAGTAGAAAGAGAAATGGTAGAAACATGAAGGAGAAGAAAAGAAGAACGAATACAAAGAAAGTGGGGGGGAAGTATGAAACCCTAGGAAGTAAAAGAACGACGACAAGGAAGAAGAGGAAGAAGCAGAAGAAGAAGAAGAAGAAGAAGAAGGCGAAAAAGAAGAAAAAGAAGATGAAGAAGAAGAAGAAGAAGAAAAGGTGTTTTAAGCAAACAGTGATAAATAAAAAACCTCGAAGCATGAAGATGATGAGGAAATGGAAGTAACCCGAGAAACTAGTAATGAAGAAGAAGAAGAAGAAGAAGAAGAGAAAGAAGAAGAGAAAGAAGAAGAAGAAGAGAGAGAAGAAGGAGAAAAAGAAGAAGAAGGCGAAAAAGAAGAAGAAGATGAAGAAGAAGAAGAAGAAGAAGAAGAAAGGTGTTTTAAGCAAACAGTGATAAATAAAAAACCTCGAAGCATGAAGATGAGGAGGAAATGGAAGTAACCCGAGAAACTAGTAATGAAGAAGAAGAGAAAGAAGAAGAAGAAGAAGAAGAAGAAGAAGAAGAAGAAGAAGAGAGAGAAGAAGGAGAAAAAGAAGAAGAAGAAGAAGAAGACTGAATTTTTTACGGCTTAACAATCTTTTAGAAGTTATTTAAAAGCGAAACATATTTTTGGATTCTAAGAATTTGGGGGGGGGGGCTACTAATGATTTTTCTCATACAGATCTTACTATTTAACCCTTAGTTGAGAGGGGTAGAAGTGGATTCAGACCTTTTCCCAAGTTGCACTCGATTTCTCATTGCGAGCCTTTATCCATTATTACCGACAGTGCATACAAAGTTACAGCACCTGGTATTCCCCGGCGGTCACCCATCTTGGTACTGACCAGTTTCAGTGTTACTTAACTTCGGGGATCGGACGACAAGCAGTGTTAGAAGAAGGAGGAGTTAGAAAAAGAGAAATATAGAAGATTGGAACAAAAAGGAATAAAATAAAACACTGGAGATTGAAAGAGTAAAATGTCGTTAGAAAAATAGTTGGATTGTTGGCATATCAACATTTCTATGGGTTATTTAATGCCAATATCTAAATATTTTGAACAAATATATGACTTCAACGAAATATATTTTGAACGCAATTGTATGTCTTCAGCTAGAGATAAAATGTATGCTGGCCATTTTGTTAAAAAATGTATTGTTGGTCATTTTATTGGGGTGGTGTATAATTATCAAGCGTTTTTATAGGCAAGATATTTGTTAATAAAAATTGCTTTTTTCTTTACTTTTTTAAGTAAAAATATTTTTTATTTTCAATTTATAAAAATGCGTGTTGATAATCATTCGCTCCGGAATAATCATTTAAAAAATGTTATTGTTGAATTATTATATTTCTTTTTTCATAATAAATATTATTTTAAAACGCCTGATAATTATGCACCAACCCAATACAATAAATATGTATTTTAGGTAATTTTTATATAAAAATGTATTGCTGGTAACTTTAGTATAAAAATATATTTTTAAACTTTCACTTATAACTTTATTTTATACTTTTTTTTTGGGGGGGGTCACTATTTGCCCACAAATAGGACTCTAACAGGTGCTGGCAATTTAGAAATTGGAAACAACAGCAATGAAGATGTGGTTCCACGCTGCTCATCACCTCGAATATCCCGATCCTTGCTGGTGGCTGTAGTTTATCGTCAAGCCCAGGTCAAGTTAATGATAGAGGAAGAAGAAGAAGAAAAAGAGAAGGAAGAAGAAGAAGAAGAAGAAGAAGAAGAAAGGTGTTTTAAGCAAACAGTGATAAATAAAAAACCTGGAAGCATGAAGATGATGAGGAAATGGAAGTAACCCGAGAAACTAGTAATGAAGAAGGAGAAGAGAAAGAAGAAGAAGAAGAAGAAAAAGAAGAGAAAGAAGAAGAAGAAGAAGAAGGATGAGGAGGAGAAGAGAAAGAAGAAGGAGAAAAAGAAGAAGAAGAAAAAGGAAAAAAGAAAACGAAGAAGAAGAAGAGAAAGAAGAAGAAGAGAAAGAAGAAGTAGAAGAAAAAGAAGAGAAAGAAGAAGAGAAAAAAGGAGAAGAAGAAGAAAAATAAGAAGAGAAAGAAGAAGAGAAAGAAGAAGTAGAAGAAAAAGCAGAGAAAGAAGGAGAAAAAGAAGAAGAAGAGAAAGAAGAAGTAGAAGAAGAAGAAAAAGAAGAAGAGAAAGAAGAAGAAGAAGAGAAAGAAGAAGAAGAAAAAGAAGAAGAGAAGGAAGAAGAAGAAGAAGAAGAAGAAGAAGAAGAAAAAGAGAAGGAAGAAGAAAAGTGGAGGAGGAAGTAGAAGAAGAACAAGAACAAGAAGGAGGAGGCGGAGGAGGAGGAGGAAGAGGAGGAGGAGGAGGAAAATAAAAAAAAAACAAAATGAAAATAAAGAAAATGAAGAATATTACGTCGGAAAGAAAATATTACCACTATTTTCTGTAAATATATAATTGACAAGTCTAATGACCAATTAAAATGTTCCACCAACGTAATACTTCCTTCCTGCATTTTTTTCGCTGCATAATCCGACCGGTGTAAAAATTCTTTTGATTCTGAGTAAAAAATATAACTGTTTTTTTTTTCAATCCTTCATAATTGGTACCCAGTTTCCAGTCACGGAAATATTGTAAAACTCTACAAAGATATTAATCCAAAGGCGAAATTTCAATGAAGTAATATATATATATATATATATATATATATATATATATATATATATATATATATATATATATATATATGTGTATATATGTCTGTGTGTCTGTGTCTGTGTCTGTGTCTGTGTGTATTGGTCTTTTTCCGAAATTCCGCCACTATATTGTAAGTGCTATATTCTCCAAGTGGCTAGATAGAGCTTGTGTTATCAAGGTTCCTAGTTTTATCTTTTTGGTATAAACTTCTTTTCATCTCTTACCACTTAGTGTCAAATTAGTTTTCGATCAGACTGCTGTTGGGGTACAGAAGACTAATGTCACAGAAAAAAAATTCACGGATTTGAACGAAGAAAAAGGTCCCAGTATGACGTCCAAATCAGCGAGAATTGGAAATAGTCAATTGTGCTTATTTCAATCTGCAACGTGTATAAATGTAAGTAGAAAGAAGTCAATGTTGATAAGATAGTGATGGTCAAAGAGCACTGCCCAGTGACTCCAATCAGCCCTGGAATATTAACATCTTTTTGGTCATTTAATTCCGAAATTAAATTTCCTTGTAACCTTTGAAGTAATAAAAATATATGTTATTCTGCTTTCACAAGTGAATACATGGTAAATGATACTCAGCTTTTCTACTGATACATGTTTGTCTAGGCACAATTACTAAGAGGCAATGATATGTGTGTTTTATGTTGTAGTTTTTTTTAAGATATATATTGGAATCCTTGATTGTTTTAAGAAATTGTAGGAGGGGGCACTGTGGAGTAATGGATAGCGGCTCAGATTGAGGAATCGGAGAACCGAGTTCGAATTCCAGTCGAATCCATTACATTCACTTACGTGCTAATACCCTTGGGAAAGGTATGAATCCTCTTCTTCTCCCCCTCCCCAGCAGGACAGACCGGGTTCTATAACCTTGGATGGCAACTGGTCTACCGCATAAAGAAATGGCAACCTATTGCAGGAAAAAATCTGCCTCGTCAGTCATGTATCGAAAGATACATGATCGCCTACGCGTGTATCACGCATGGCACATAACTGACTGAGTATATTTCATGGATTAATCTGATGGAAGAGTTCTTTTATGTTAGTTTTTTGGTTGGTTTATTTTGTTCAGCAGCAAATTAGACCCTATATAATGCCGAAATCTAAATATTTTCAACACAAATGTATACCATCAACTAAACAAAAAATATATTGCTTTCGAATATTGCTATAAAATGTATTGCAGGTCAATTTGATATAAAATTTACTGTTGGTCATTTTATAAAAATGTATTGATGGTAATTTTACTATAAAATATATTGATGCTTATTTTGCTTTAAAATATATTGTTGGTCATTTTGCTTTAAAATGTATTATCGGTCATTTTGCTTAAAAATGTATTGTTGGTCATTTTGTTTTAAAATGTTTTATCGGTCATTTTGCTTAAAAATGTGTTGTTGGTGATTTTGCTTTAAAATATAGGATTGGTAATGTTCCTTTAAAATGTATTATTAGTCATTTTGCTTTAAAATGTATTATTGGTCATTTTGCTTTAAAATGTATTATAGGTCATTTTTCTTAAAAATGTTTTATCGGTCATTTTGCTTAAAAATGTATTGTTGGTCATTTTGCTTTAAAATGTTTTATCGGTCATTTTGCTTAAAAATATATTGTTGGTCATTTTGTTTTAAAATATGTTGTTGGTGATTTTGCTTTAAAATATAGGATTGGTAATTTTCCTTTGAAATGTATTATTTGTCATTTTGCTTTAAAATGTATTATTGGTCATTTTGCTTTAAAATGTATTATTGGTCATTTTGCTTAAAAATGTTTTATCGGTCATTTTGCTTAAAAATGTATTGTTGGTCATTTTGCTTTGAAATGTATTATCGGCCATTTTGCTTAAAAATGTACTTTTGGTCATTTTCCTTTAAAATCTATCGTTAGTCATTTTCCTTTAAATGTATTATCGGTCATTTTGCTTTAAAATGTATTGCTGGTCATTTTGCATTAAATTGTATTTTTGTTCATTTTGCTTTAAAATGTATTGTTAGTCATTTTGCTTTAAATTATATTATTGATTATTTTACTATAAATATGTTTTGTTGGTCATTTTTCTTTTATAAAAAATGTAATGCTGGTATTTTTAGTATGCAATTTTTTTATACTTTCATAGTGTCTCATTTTTGTTTGAATGGTTCACCCTGGCCTTAACAGGTGCTACCACCCCGAATGAAAATGAACCTTGCATCAACAGCAATTAAGAGGTGTTTCTACGCTCTTGAAACCTTCAATCTACCGATTAGTGACCTTGCTGCCGGACACTAATAACGGCTAAAAGAATACTGAACACCTATATTCTATGTAATCTTCCATATGGAGTCAAAAGTTCCTCTTAGTTGAAAAATAAACTTGAAACGACAGAAATCTGGTTCTACTGATTCGCACTACAATCACTTTTTCTTGCTAACAATTGTTATTTTTAGTAATTAAACTTAAAGTGAAATATGCGGGCTGACGGGATAGTTAAGACTTCGGAGAAGAAGGGGGGGAGAAGGAGAAGAAGAAGAAGAAGAAAAAGATGATGAAGGGGAAGACGACGACGACGAAGAAGAAGAAGAAGATGGATTAGGAGGTGGAAGGAGGAGAAGGATAATTGTATTTTTAAGAAGAAAAAGAAGAAGAAACAGATGGGAGAATAAGAAAGAAGAAGAAAAAAAGAAGAAAAAAGATGAATAAAAAGAAGATTAAATGAGTGGTTTATATAAAGTAGGGAACGAGTAATAAGAATCTGAAGAAGAAGAAGAAGAATCTGAAGAAGAAGAAGAAGAAGAAGAAGAAGAAGTAGAAGAAGAAGAAGAAATGCGAAAATGAGAAAGAAGAAGAAAGAAGATGTAAAATAAAAAGCTGCAGCAGAAGAAGAAAAAGAAATGAGTGGTTTATAAAAAGTAGGTAAAAGAGAAACAAGAATCTGAACGAAGAAGAAGAAGAAGAAGAAGAAGAAGAATAAAATGCAAGAATAAGAAAGAATAAGAAAAAAGAATAAAAAACAAGCTGAAGAAGAAGAAGAAGAAGAAAAAGAAGTAGAAGAAGAAGAAGAAAATGCAAGAATAAGAAAGAAGAAGAAAAAAGAAAAAAAACAAGCTGAAGAAGAAGAAGAAGAAGAAAAAGAAGAAGAAGAAAATGCAAGAATAAGAAAGAAGAAGAAAAAAGAAAAAAAACAAGCTGAAGAAGAAGAAGAAAAAGAAGAAGAAGAAGAAGAAAATGCAAG